GTCAAATACGTTTTCTGCATCAGTTGAGGTTCTCTTGTGATCTTTGTCTTTTGTTAATGTGTTGTTACATTTATTGATTTTCACATGTTGAATCACCTTGCATCCCAGGGATAAATCCTTCTTGTTCATGATGTATAATCCTTTTAATGTGCTGTTGAATTTGGCTTGCTAGTGTTTTACGGAGGATTTTTGCATCAATACTTATTAAGGATATTGGTCTGTAATCTTTTGGTGTCTTTGTCTGGTTTTGGTATCAGGGTAATATTGGCCTTATAAAAAAATTTGAGAAGTGTTCCCTCATTTACAATTTTTTGGAAGAGTTTGAGAAGGATTGGGTTTATTTTTTCTTTATGTTTCATAGAATTCTTCACTGATGTCATGTCTCCGGTGCTGGGCTTTCCTTTATTGGGAGGTTTTCGATTATCGATTACAAGTCTCCCTATTTGTTGTGAGTCTGTTCAGATTTTCTTTTTCTTTATCATTCAATCTTGGTAGGTTGCATGTTTCTGGGAATTTATCCATTTCTTCTGTGTTATCCAATTTGATGGTATATAATTGTTCATAGTAGTCTCATAATTTTATTTCTGTGGCACCCATTGTAATGCCTCCTCTTTTCTGATGTCAACTGAGTCTTTATTTTTATTAGTTATCTAGCTAAAGTCTGGTTAATTCTGTTTTTTTTTTTTTTCCTCAAAGAATCAAGTCGTAGTTTCATTGATACTTTCTCCTCTGTTTTTCTATTCTCTATTTTATTTATAACTGCTCTAACCTGTATTATTTCCTTCCTTCTGCTAAATTTCGATTTAGTTTGTTCTTTTCTTAGTTTTTTGAGATGTATATTTTGGTTGTTGATTTGAGATACTTTCTTTTTAAAATGCAGACATTTACCACTATAAATTTCCCTCTTATTACTGCTTTTACTACATGACATAAATTTTGGTATGCTATGTTTTTATTTTAATGTGTCTCAAGATATTTTCTATTTCCCCTTTTGATTTCTTTTTGACCCAATGGTTGTGCAGTTTGTGGTGTTTAATTTCCATATATTTTTGGATTTTTGTTTATGATTTGTTTTAATCCATCAGGAAAATAAAATGATGATTAGGGTTGTTTTAACAAACACTTTCACATGTTCCAGTGGGCATGAAGAAATAAAGAGCTCAATTTAAGTAAAGATTATAAAGAGAATCCATTTGCCACTGACTCTGAGGATGAAAAATGCAATATTTCAACTTGAGAGTAATAGGCTTGTTAATTTAGCTTCTAAGATGCTGAAAGTAATCTTCAATGAGAAACTTCTCCATAATTTCTGGATTTACATTCAATTTACATACATAAAATTTATGAGTTTTCAAGTATTTGGTAGCATTCTTATGGCATACAATTATAAGTTAGCATATTCTAATTTAACAGAAATAATTATTGAGAAAAAAGTTAATGGTTGTAGAGCCTTCCCTATGACTCTTGGGTTTTTTTTTTTATATCATAAACCAATTTACTTGTCTACTGGAGGATTGCAAACAAATTTATTCCTCCTACTGATATAACAGCTTTTATTTAAAATTGATTTGAATCTTTATAAAATTTCATGAAACTATTAGCCTATGGGGACATGAATTCCAGTTGAGTGCTCTATGAGTGCCAAAAGCTAAGGAAACAATGCATACTTGTGAACTACATTACCTGAGGATAACAGGGTTCAAATTTTTTCATCTTTGCAAAATGGTGACAGTATATTTTTGGCATACAGTACTTTTTAAATGTTGCTTGAAATAAATCTAACTGAAACGACTAGAAGTTAAATAAGGTAATGAAAGACTGAGGCATTTCTCCACAAGAGTAAATAAAAAAAATACTTCAGTAAAATATGAATTTCCATAGATAAAAGTTTAGTCTGTGTCATGAAAAGGAAAAGAAGACCTTCAACTGGCTTTAGGGAAAGTTGCTAAGTTTTAAGTGTCAAACTGAAGCAGATATGGAAAGACAAATGATGGAATTATTTGTTGGAAACATAAGCTCATTTAGGCTAGCCTGAATGATGTTCTCAAAGGCTTATTTTTGTATAGGAAAAATGTCATAGTTGAAAAGTAAACAATTTTTAAAAATCAAATTCAGGCATTAAAATCCCACATTAAAAGCCCTCACTGACAGAGATTGAGGCTCAGGTCAGTAAAGATTGCTGGCAGACAACTTTGGCATGCTCATACCCACGTTTGACCAAGGCATTAAGCCAGCACATACCTTTTGCTGGTGGAATTAGGTAAACTGCCAAGATGTGGATTCCTATCCATGTAGACCACCAGAAGGCACTGATTATACTCTGCATTCTCAGAAGGAATTTTGAGTGAATAATCCAAAAAGTTTATCTAACAGTAGTTCATAACAATAAATATTTTCAATGGAGTACTTCAATAAGCAAGGAAATAATTTAGGTATACATCAATTTTTTAATTGAATAAATATGTATTTTATAAATACAATAAAAACATAAAAATAAAATATAGCAATATAAATTACTTATAAGATGCAAAAACTAGAAGTTTTAAAATTTCTTAAATTCTAATTCTAAAAGAATGATATGATCACTACAAAGCAAAATGAAATACAAAGGTGGATGAAGAAGATGTGTAGTACCCTTGAACTTAAACAACTTTGGATTGAACTGTGTGGATCCATTTATATGTGGATGTTTTTCAATAAATATGTACTACGGTACTACATGATCCATGGTTGGTTGAATCTGCAAATGTGAATACTGGGGGTCGACTGTAAAGTTATGCACAGATTTTTGACTGTGTGGAAAGTTGGTGTCCCTAGCCCCAGAGCTGTTCAAGGGTCAACTGTAATATCCAGTGATCCTCTATGCAATCTCATTCCACTTACCCCAGCCTCCATATCAAACAAATTTTTAAAAAGGCAACCCAAACAAATGAAAAAACTGAGGCAAAAAGAAAAAGGAAATTTACCTAACACCGTGCAATTAGCAGAGCTGGGGTGTGAATCTGAGCAGTCTGTCTCCAGAATTCATGTTCATCATGTAAACCTAACCCGTCTGTTTAGCTGAACAATATTTCTGAGTCTGGTATGTACTTTATATTTTAACAGATGTTAGAAATGTGTAACTCCACCCAAAGCACCCACTTCTCCTCCTCCCTGCATCCCTTGATGTGGTCTATTCAGAATCTCAAACTAGAAGTCTTGTCCTTAATATACAGGATTTGAGCATTTAATTAATTAAATTAAATTAAATTAATAAGTTAATTTAAGACAAGAATTTAAGACAACTCCATAGAAAAACTGACAGAAAAAAGGTTAGGAATGGATAATCCTCTCTAAATGGCTGGAGCACATATGAAAAGATATTCTGATGAAAATTGATACCAAGATACGACTTACATTCGGTTGATTTAGTAAATATGAAAAGATCTGTTATGTTGTGCCTGGAACTACATACCCATATATCAAGCTGAGTACTTGAAATCTCTTCTAGAATGTGAAACACTTTCAAATTTATCATATCCAAAATTAGACACCTGCAGTGTCTAATTCCACACATATTCCACCTTTCACCTTACTCATCTCAGGATTCATAATTTTCCAGTTGCACAGGCACCTCAAGCCTCCATGACTTCTCCTTTTCATACCACTCGCCCAATACTTCAGAAATTCCTGTTTCCCCTAACCTCAAAATGTATGAATTACCTAATACCTGTATACTACCTCTTTTGTTATCACCCCAAATGTACTCTGATCAAGGTTTCTGTTACAGCTTCCTAACAGATACTTCTGCTACTACACATGACCTCTTACAGTATTTTCCTCAAAATGGTAGAGTGATTCTTTTAAAATACCAGTTTGAGTTTGTCACTCCTCTGCTTAAACTCTGCCATGATTCTCCTTTTCACTAAGACTAAAAGCCAACGTCCATACCTTGGCCTGCAGGTTTCATATTGTCCATTTAACCCCAAACTCTCTGACCTGCTCTGGTTTCTCTTCTTCACTCACTCACTGAGTTCCAGCCTCACTCTTACCCTTGCTCTTTTTGAACACTCTAGGCAAGCTCTTATTATTTTTTTTCCTACAGTGCTTGTGGCTTTCCAAAAAAATATGTAATTTATCAGTTAATTATATCTCTGAAAGCCCCTGAAAATAAAAAGTATGGCCCCTTCTAAGTAACATGTAAGATTTAAGTACTATTAGACTTTCTTAATGTCAGCTAATTTGATATAAGAAAAATAGTTGTTAAATATTGCAGCACTGATGAGACTGAATTGTCATATATATATATATATATATATATATATATGCGAGAGAATAAAAACCTCATCTCTGAATAGCTAACAACTTTTTTGTCCATCTTGCCAAAGAAATTCTTTTTGTGGGCCCAGTTTCTCTACAATTTCACCCACCTTATCACCCCTCCATACCTCGGCCCCTTTTCCAACTCTCACAAAGTGTCTACTTTGTGTTAGATAAGGATTTGTGGAGTTAAATGCCTTAAACAGGTAAAACCAGGGTGAAGGAGATAAAGGAACAGAATTTCAGAATTGAGAGGAAAGGAAGAGGGCTTAGCCCCAGTGCACAAGCAATTATACATTATCATACCAATAGAAAAGAGAAGATACAGTCCTAAAATTGCAGGATGAAAAGAAAATGTTCCTATATTTTGTGTGAGAGAGAGATACGGATGAAAATAATAAGCACAGGCAGAACCACCAAGTGTGTTTAAATGGATGAAAGGTAAAATTTTTTTTAAAAATGTTATTGACTAAGGATTTGGATGACTTTCAAGGGGTTCTCAAAATACAAGTAAAGGATTATAGTATTTTAGCATAATTTTAGATGGTCACATATTATATTTTAAATTTTCTTTGTCTTGGATGTAGAAAGATTAGCTCATTTCATGCTTAACTAATGAAACTATCATCAGTGGTCAGTATAGGACCCCATTCAAGTTTTATTTATTTACTATTTATTTTAATTATTTGTTTTATTCACAGTGCTGGAAATCCTTCCATTCTATCATATATGTGCTTAAAAGAAGGACCAGATTGTGTTATGTAAGTGTGCATTTGTATGGATACTACATGGCCACAAAGTAGAATGTGGTCGTATAATCTCTCTGTATATCATATACATTATACATATACCAATCTAATATATTTGATATGTAGCTTTGAATAGCATTATGAAACATGTAGGGATGTTTTGTATATACATTTTAAGTAATGTAAACTATATAGCTTCTCAATCTCTTTAATGATTATTTCCCCCAATGTAATGTAGACTGATATTTTGCAAGATAAAAAATAATTATTAGAAAAATTAAGGAAGACATAAAAATGCCAGCCTTTTATTATTAGATATGATAGACATGAAAATACATTTTAGTAAATCAATTAAAGCAAATCGTCTTAGCACAAGGAAGAGAGACTTAAGATCGTGCATGCTGTTTATTGAAAGTGAAATTATGACTGAATATTAACTCCCCATATTATATACCTACATAGATACTCACTTTCCTATTTGTTTTCTTCCATATCTATAATAAGTTAAATTCTTGTAATTAAAAAAAAAACTGATATGGGTTTTTTTTTTTCCTTCAACTTTTTTCCCCTGAGTTTGATCAAAACTAGATCCACTTCTAGTTTGTTCCCTTTTGCACTTAGGTTTAAAATTTATTGTTCTAGACATTTTCATCAACTGAAATAATTTGCATTTCTGTTTTCTTCTTAAGGAGATTAGTCTGTAGTTTGCTTTTTTCTGTTCCTGTGCCTTTTGGAAACAGTCTCATGTTCAGGAGTGCCTTTTTTGGTCTCTATAGTGAAGTACAATTTCTTTATTGAACAGAGTTAGTGGTAGGTGGTGAGAGAATGGCTTAGCCTGTGTTGTTCCTGTTTCCTTTTTATTTCTGCGGGATACTTACATTCCCTTCATCCTTCATTGTCATTCCTTTTCTATTTATGTGATTGTACCCCAGAATCAATGTTTCATTCCAGTGCACTTTCAAGCGCATTTCCTGTACTACCAAGTCATAATACCTTCATTTGATATTTAGTCCTGAATGGTGTCTTTCTGGTGGTAGGTTTCCCTGTCCTTTTGAAATTATTCTTTACTCCAAACCCTCCCTTTTTAAAAAACTGAGCCTCCTACGGCTCCCCTTCCCCATTTGTCTTACAGTGAGAGTAGGATCACAGATGGAATTTGGATTTATTTCTCCACATACTGTTAATTTGAAGTTTTTGGTATTCTGTCTCCTAGTAATGCTGAAGTCGTAAGTCATGTATGAACTTATATTACTCTCAAATTTAGATATTTTTGAGGCGTGGATGTATAGAGTTTGATTTAAGCAGCTACCATTAACCTCTAGAAATTATTTACAGTACCACGTATGTATTTAAAGATTTTAATGTAACAAATCTTCTCACTTGTTAGATTATCCAATCTAGGCTTGGTTGATGGCAACATGACTCAGAGAGGATAATATATCTGTTAGAGATTGAATGTTTGTGTCCCTCCAAAATTCATACTTCCATATATTGAAGCCCACACCACCAGTGTGTCTGTATTTGGAGATGGGGCCTCTAAGGAAATAATTAAGGTTAAATGAGATTATTAGGGTGGAGGCCTGATCTGATAGGATTAATATCCTTTTAAGAAGGGATACCAGAGCTTGCACACTCTCAGTGTCTCTCTGTGTGCACAGGAACCAAGAAAAGGACATACGAGGGCACAGCAAGAAGGTGGCTACAAGTCAGGAAGCATTCTCACCAGAAAGGTAATTGGCCAGAATATTGCTCTCGGACTTCTAGACTCTAGAACTTCAGTTGGTGTATTCTAACCAATGGACTTTTGTTACAAAACTCCTAGCAACTAATATCTAAATTACTTCTCTGTTTGATTTTAATAACACCTTTGAGAAACCATTTTCAAAGAGGCACACTGACACGAAGACGATTTTAAAGAAAGTTGATCAGGATATTTATTTTAAAATTTATTATCCAAAATAAAACATGATGCCATATTTTCAACAATCATCTGCAATCATTCATTACTTGCTACTTCTAAAGATTTATTTTCTAAAAGTATAGCTAAAAGTAAATGACAATTCAGTAAAGTAGATTCCAAATTCTACAATTTTTAATGCAAGAATCATCTTCAGATAGAAATTAAATTTTATTCACATCTATAAGTTGTCACAATACATTTTATAGGTAAGCAATATCATGATTTTCAACCTATCACATTGATAATTGTTGCTAAATTACAGAACATGTTATATAATGTTTCTTCCAGGCTTTTTTTTCCTGCAAAAATTGTCTGCCATTGTAAAAAACATATTGCATTTACTTCTTTTCATATAGTGTTAAAAATTATTTCTACTACACTACAGCTGCCCGTGTTATTATTCTTTTAAAAAGCTGGGACCAAACTGGTATCATATCATATCTTCTAATAGAAACACCTAAACTGATGTATGATTTATAATGCTGAGAAAAATAAAATCAATTATCTCTTGGCCGGTTAGTTTACAAAGTATAGCTACAACATTTATAAGCAGCCATCATTTGACACTTATAATTCATGCTGACCAATGTAAAGTGAAGGCTGTGAAGTTTAGTGCACAGTAAATCAGTGCTTAAGTCAGTGCTTAATTATATAATTTCTAAGTCAAATATAAATTTCAACTATTGCAGGTTATCATTTGAAAAACAAACTTTAAAATCTTCTACAATTTATGTATTCTTACTTGATGGAGTATACATATGCACCTTTGTACATACATGCTTGTCATTTGCATTTAATCCATTCCATGGCTTATATATTTTCACGTCATCTTTAATTTTATTTGAATTTATTATTTTGAATATGTTTTCAACAGTCAGAAATCCCTTAAAGTAAATAGGACAGGTATTCTTCTCATTTTCATTATTTGAGTAACAATGTTCCTTCCACTTTACTTCTTACTGAACAACCGTGTTACATTCCGAGTTGTATGTATGCATCTTTTTTTGGTCTTTGGAAGTACATTGAAAGTGGAAGTACATTGAAAGAAGCCTATATGAGAAAATATTTGAAATATTCACAATATTTATACCTGAAAATGAATCAAAAAATTGTTTTTAAAAACCCAAAATTTGGCATAATCAATGCCTTAAAGAAATTTTGTTATAGAAGTAACTATTTTAAAAGAAAGCTTTGAAATTAAACTTATTCAGTACTGTATGTCAACTATATTGCAGTCAATCTAGAAGAAAAAAAAAAATCTTTGAATAATGATACCAAGGGAAGTTTTAGCTTTTCTACTTTACTATGCAGCTCTTCTCTGTGAGGTCAGCCTATCACAAACATACTAGAAAGCTTTCAATCTCTACATTTTCCTTAAAACATCTTTCCCCTCATATTTGTTTGCCCAAGTGACATATTTGTGACTAGTTAATATTTCTTTCAACTCACCTTGTATAAATTATTTCTTAGGTAAGGGAATATAAGGTATAAGTAAGATTAAGCATTACTCTTTCAGCTCTTATCCTCTTCAGAGTTGTTTATTGATCCAATTTCAAAGTCAATTCCCTATTATAATTGAATTTTCTTTTATATATAAGACTGTTAGGTTGCATTACTTTCTTTATACATTTCAAAATACCCCTCCCCTCATTTATAAAGATCAGTAGGAAACCCTGCCTAGAAAAAATACCCAGAAAAAAGTTATCCACTAGTGTGGTTTAATGTGTCAGGAGAAAGGGCTCTCTTTAAATTATTTTTCTCTCTCAGGTAATGTAAAATAAAAGAGATGTGAGACTAAAAATTACCTGATAAAATGGAAGTTCTGATGGATTCTTTAAGGCTTTCGTGAGGAAAATGTTCTGAGTTCACTGTATTAAGCTAAACCTTCTCTTGATGTATTAGAGAAAGACAGGAGGTTTATCACTAAGGATGTATTAAAATTTTATATATTAAAATTATATATTGAATATAATATTTGTATTGCTTTTAAAAGGAACATTATTAAGATAAACTTGAGGTGGGAAATTAGTTTTTCCTCTCTCACTGTGTGGGAAAAAATATGAAGCCCTCGCTATTTTAAGGTACAACTTTGGGCTTGATATCTAGTAATAAATTCAGTTCAAATATCATATCCTGAAAATGGCCTTCCTCAAGCCATGAGTTACTTAAAACACTACCTCACTTTAACTCCTCCTCAGTAACTCTCCAAGGCATTACCTTAGCTTGATATCTAGTAATAAATTCAGTTCAAATATCATATCCTGAAAATGGCCTTCCTCAAGCCATGAGTTACTTAAAACACTACCTCACTTTAACTCCTCCTCAGTAACTCTCCAAGGCATTACCTTAATTTGGTTTCTTTATAGTCCTTAACAGGAGCACAAATTTCTGTGTTTATCCCTTTGTTAACTGTTTCTGTCTACTAGATTTTAAGCTACGGATCGTAACATCTTTGTTTATCTTGATGAAGACTCTCTCCTTAATGAAACTTGAGTGAAGCTTTCCTGAGCCCTCTTTCTGACTAGGCCTCATCTTTGGACTGTGTCTTCACCTCCAGTCGTAGCAAGAATTCAGAGTTGGTTAGCCAGTCCCCCTACCCTTGATATCTCCTCTTAGTAATTTTTCATTCAGTGACTTTCTCACTAGAGCTGGCTATAAATCCCCAACTGCCTTTGCTATATTTGGAGTTGAGCCTGATCTCTTAAATAAGGTCTTTCTTACCGCTTTATAATAACTGTCAGAATAAATTTTTGCATTAGCAATCCTGTCCATCACTTTATACTTAGCATCTATAATAGCGCCTGACATGTAGAAAAACAATGTGCATTTCCTGAAGGAATGAATAAATACCATGATAAATAATGATTAAGTATATAAGAAAGTTAAAGTTTATACATATCTGTGCATATGTAATATTAAGATTTAGTTTAATACATGTAAGATGGTATAACAGACCTCAGGATCTGGGGCCGGACTGCCAGAGTTTGATGACTCCTGTAGAATCTGATTAGTTGTATGACTTTGGGCGAGTTATCAATTCCTTGGAGCTTCAGTTTCCTCATTCGTACAATGCAGTTAATAAAAGTACCTGAATTATGTGGTTATTAAGGCAACAATAAATGGGTTAATATACTTGAAGCTTTGAAAAGATCAAATATGCAGTCAATATACAGTAGTTACTCTCATTAATAAGTGTATTAGCATTAGTAATACCACTAACCTGGTATGTATTGCGTGCATTAAAGGGACTATTCTGTCATACACATTTTAAGAGATTTATCCAGTCTGAAAAATATGCAGTCTATCCATTTGAAATGAAATGTTGGTACACTAATGGTTTCCATCTGCTTTCTTTTACTGTATCTTCTTGCTTACACTATAACCCAAATTTCTAGAAAACAAGCTGGCATGAACACAACAATCCATCCCCTTCTCCCTGCTGATGCTAAAACTAAAAGAAAGTATAAAATATATTCAACTGTTTATTCTGACTCTCACACATAACTATACAAAGGCAGGGATTTGGGTTGTTGTATTCAATTTTATCTCCCCAAAGTTTAAGTGCAATCATAGAATTAAGTCATTTAGAAATGGTATTAAAATTATTACCAGATACTATTAATTGGAATGGAAAGTCACTTCATTAGTGATTTAGTTATATAGTATTACAAAATGAAGGACATCTTTTAGAAATGAAAATAGTTGCAGATTTAATTAAAATGTTAAATTACTGTAAAAATCATAAAAAAATTTAATTGAAGAAATGGAATCAGACTGTACTCTAATGTATTTTTGCATTTCCAATTTTATAGCACATATTTGATATTTAAAGGAAAAATAGATATCACTTCATTTGTAAACTGCATAAGGATCTTCATTCTAGTTAATGTAGCATTTTTAGGAGGATTTTTGGGCCAATTCAGGTTCATGGCCAACATTTTATATTATCAATTGTTCTTTTTATCATTAGTCTAAGATGGTTTTTCAGGATCTTATTAAATTTCTGATCATGTATTCAGCTTATTACAGGGCTATAGTTACTGCATCTTAGACGATGCACAACACTGCTTATTGTTACTGGGAATAGAGTTCTGTGTTAGAATATGCATTTGAGATCTAAGTCCAGGGTCTCTGATGCTACTCCTGTTATACCTCTGGGATAGGAGGGAAATATAATACAGGGAAAAGAGTGTTTCTTTGGAAAACTCAACTATTCTGTTAGCAGTGTGTTTCTGGAAAGAAATCAGCAAACCTCTCTCAGCTATAATTTTCACATTGATAAAAGTCTAATGGTCTCTATGGATCATAATGGATCGTAAATTAGAAGAATTGTGAAAATACCTTTACTTCCTTTGTGTTCTGCCATTGAAGAAAATAATTTTTCCATAACTTTCTGCCATTAATGTATTTAATTTATACAGGAGAATGTCCTGTATTTGAGACCAGATGCCTAAACATTTCCTAGAGAAAAATTAGGAGTACATTTGAGAATGCATTGCATTTTAAAACTTAAAGATTTAGAATGGAAATTCTGAATTTGGAATAATAGAATTCATGATAATAGTGATAAAATTTGAAAATTATTGATATATCCATGTCCATTTGGATATATCCACTGAGTATATCTATTACAATTTTTAAAAATATGTTGACAACTTCTAATTGCTGTAGATACTGAGAGGGCTATTCATCCTAAACTGCTTTCTAAGTACTGTGCTGTGCAGTAATTGAACTGCTGGTCCCTTCCTTATAACAAATCTATTTCTAGCTCTAAATATTCTTGAAATTCAAACATCTTCTGAGGACAATATTTTGTGCTGCTGTCTATTTCAGATGATAAATGGTGACTAATCTCAGTCATTAATTATGGAGATCAGAGAGAAAGGTGGGAGAATCTTTTAGTCACTTCAGTTCATTTTTGATGCTAAAATAACAAAAATGTATGTACGATATTTATGAATAGTCCACAGTATTGTCAACATTTTCTTCAATACTTTCCCCATGGAATTATTGTAAATAAGTGTAGTTGAGACATTTAGTTACAAAGCTTACTTACTGATCATAGTTTTCCTTATGCTAAAATAAATGGCATTTTAAATGCTCAATGTATTCCTTTCAAGCAGCATTTTTTGTATTTGTTAAAGAAACTCAGTTTCTGGGTTAATTATGCCTGTTATACAAAGATCTTTAAATTATAAAGTATCAATCAGTCGCACACTTCACAGAAATAAGTCATGTTAAATAGCATCCTTTAGTACATTTTGAGACAGTAGCTGCTAAAATGGGCTGCACAACTCCCTGAATTGTATGTGACAATGAAAATACATCCCTATTAAACCTCTGAATCATTTATTCCTATTTTACTCATTTGTTTTTTTCCAACTCATAAGTGTCCAGGAATCCCATACCTTTTCAGAGACAATGCCTTAATTAATACTCATGGAGAATTCTCTCCTGGAGAAAATGCAATACAGGGCCAATTACTTTTTGAAATGCATGGTTTTTCTTAACAGATTGTACCTGCATTCACAGTATAATGCTCTAAGACTACCTGGAGGTTACATTTCCTCAGTTCTGCATAGTAGTAATGAGCATTTAAATCACTTTAATTCTTTCATATTTGTATGTATTCAAACCTGGAAGGAGAAACAACACAAAAGGCATTAGAAATGTAAAATTAATGATTTTAATTAAAATTTTGTAATCTATATGTATAAACATAATCCTAGTGTTATGATACTATTACTTCTACAGATGAATTCTTCCTATCTTTTAAAGAATTGGTACTACTTCAAAAACCACTTTCAAAGACTGGATTATATACCTTCACATTAGAAGAAGATAATGAAAATGTTTAAATCACACATAAAGAAAAAAACAAATATATGGACATTGCATGCTTAAGGTGATAAAAAATTAGTAAAGCAGAAATACTAGAATATATTCCATATGACAAAGTCCATGAAAACAGTAACTGCCATTTAAATATAAAAACTGAAAGCTGGTGTAGGTTATGTAAGAAGAAAAAAGTCCTTGAAACTTAGATAATAGTTTTACATGTAAAACATTATGGCTGTATGGCACCAGTCTTGACTGATAGCTGTTTAGTTCTACAAACAAAAGGAGTTGTTAACTGACAGATGGTTGTGTTCTAAACTTCCAGTTATAAGTCACATGCTGGTACCTCTATAATTTCCCACAGAAACCACTGGTTGGCTAATAGCAAATTATATACATATATATATATACACACACACACACACATACACACACAGAAATATTTGTAAAAGAAAATTTGGATTATCTAATATTTGCAGTGCACATTACCTTCAGATCATTTGTTACATTGTATTTATAATTCTTATCTAAAGCAACCAATCTTACTACTGTTCTCTTTCATTTTCTAAAGCTATGAGGCTTTGAAAAACTGGCTCAGAACACTCAGAAGAATGCAGAAATAAGAATAAGACTTTGTGAGTAACCAACATTATTATTCTGCTGGTTCTTTCAGTAAAGATTTAACTAAATTTGCAATATATACATATCTTAATATTGTATGACAGTCATTTTTTTTTAATTTTGAAATTATGTTTGGGAGGTTTTACCAACGTACCTCAGTGGACCACCTTCCAAAGTCAATTAAATCATGGCATATTGCCTGAGAAGTGCATCTCATGAGCTGCTTATGCCCAGGTACCTTTTCTTCATTTCTGGAATAAATCTCAAATTAAGAGTGTTACTATTACTCAGTCTGCATTTCTAGTTGGCTCTCATTCCCATACCTGTAATGCTCAACCTACGTGTTTCTTCCTTTTCAAATATCACTCATCTGTCATGACTCCCCTAAAAGCTCCCTCCTTTTAAAAGACCTCTATCCCATTCTCTTCAGAAAGTGGAATTTCCTTCCGAGCCACCATGTCACTTTGTACGTCCACTGTTCATTCATCATAATCTTGACTATATCACAATTGGCTTTATATTTAACCATTACTACTCCTCAAATTGTATCTCTTAATAAAGAAGGCTCATTTACATCCCTTTTCACTGGGTAGGCAGGAATAAGGTCTAAGTTAATCTGTATGTACTCGATATACATCTTATTTAAAATGGTAAGAAATTGCAAACAATATAAACCAGTTAGTTTTCAGTTAGGCATAGCATAATATTCTGAGACTATAAAAACTGTTTGTTACACAATAATATTTACTGTCACTGGTGAATTTATGTCCTATTGCTGCCACAAAGTTGGTGAAATGAAAAAAAAATTAAAGAAGTGCAAAAAGAGCAGGGTGCCTGAAGTGAGTTAAGCAAGGAGAAGAGATCATTTTAAATTTAAGATGTGTATTATATATGCAAATAAAGGTGTCAGATCAGAATTTGATATAACAAGTCTGGGCTTTGAGGGAGAATCAGAGAGAGCTGGAGACAGGCTCCAACAAAGGGTTGATAGTACAAGCTCTGAGATTTTGTGTGGAGGAGCCAATGAGGTACAGCAAGAAACAGGAGAGGGTCATGTCTGGAAAGCCAAGTGTAGAAGGGTTTCAAGGAGTGATCAACTGTATTTATATAGGAAATTAACCAAAAGGGATTATAAAATTGATATGAACATACTTTAAACTTAAATATTTATCTATTGGACTGCTGTTTGATGAGGTAGATAAGAACCTTTTTCTATTTAGTTCATTAATAGAAGTGAAATGTAAGTGAAGAATAATTCATGATTTTTTAAGGAGCCTTTCTGACATTTACAGTTGTGTTCACATGTAATGCTAGAATGTATATTTTCAGGTAGCTTTTCCAAACCATTTGTCTCAATGCAAAAACTTTTCTTCTTTACAGTCATATTTTAACACTTTATGTAATACTTAATTAGGTACTATAGTCATGAGTATAACTGGCACAAATACGTTTGGAAATAAACATAATTTGGTACTTGGTGTAAGCAGATATGTAAGGATAGTAGATATTAAAATATAGCCTAGTAATACTAAGTGCCCCATGAGTTGTGACTGTCACTTTGTTTCACAGAAAAAATGGAGAGCATCAGTTAACGAAATGAGTACATAGGTGAAGGGTAAAAGGACTTCCAATACATACCAAAATGTTAAATGAATATGTTGGGCATTACAGGATACTTTAAAACAACTACAGCTAAGTCATCACCTAAAACTTGTAAGGTCAATCAAGTTGCAGTTTAAAAATATGTTCTTAAAAGACAGTCTCTTCAGCAAGTGGTATTGGGAAAACTGGCCAGCCGCATGTAAATCAATGAAGTTAGAATACTCCCTTACACCATACACAAACTCAAAATGGGTTAAAGACAAATATGAGACATGACACCATAAAACTCCTAGAAGAGAACATAGAAAACATTCTCTGACATAAATCTTACCAATGTTTACTTAGGTCAGTCTCCCAAGGCAACTGAAATATCAATAAAAGCAAAGGAAAAAGAAGTGGGACCTAATTAAACTTAAAAGGTTTTGCACAGCAAAGGAAACCATAAGCAAATCGAAAAGACAACCTACAGACTGGGGGAAAATGTTTGCAAATGGTGTGACTGACAAGGGATTATTTCCAAAATATACAAACAGTCCAATCAAAAATGGGCAGAAGAACTAAATAGACGTTTCTATGAAGAAGATGGCCAACTGGCATATGAAAAGATGCTCAACGTTGCTAATTATTAGAGAAATGCAAATCAAAACTACAATGAGGTACCACCTCACACCGGTCAGAATGGCCATCATTAAAATGTCTACAAATAACAAATGCTGGAGAGTGTTTAGAAAAGGGAATCCTCCTACACTGTTGGTGGGAATGTAAATTGGTGCAGCCACTATGAAAACCAGTGTGGAGACTCCTTAAAAAAGCTAAAAATAAGAGTTACCATATGATCCAGTAGTCCTACTCCTGGACATATGTTTGGAGAAAACTCTAATTTGAAAAGATAGATGCACTCCAATGTTCACAGCAGCACTGTTTACAATAGCCAAGACATGGAAGCAACCTAAGTGTCCATCAACAGATGAATAAAGAAGATGTGGTACACATATACAATGGAATATTTCTCAGCCATAAAAAAGAATGAAATAATGCCATTTGAAACAACATGGATGGACCTAGAGATGATTACACTAAGTGAAGTAAGTCAGACAAGTTAAGTACCATACATCACTTATATGTGGCATCTAAAATATGACACAAATGAACTTACTTATGAAACAGATTCACAAACATAGAAAACAAACATGGTTATCAAAGGGGAAAAGGGGGTGGGGAAGGAATAAATCAGGTTTGGGATTAGCAGATACAAACTAGTATATATAAAATAAACAACAAGGTCCTACTGTATAGCACAGGGAACTCTATTCAATATCCTGTAATAAACCATAATGAAAAATAATATGAAAAAGAAATATATAAACTGAGTCACTTTGCTGTACACCAGAAACTAACACAACACTGTAAATCATCTATATCTCAATAAAAATAAGTAAATAAAAATGTGTTCAATGAAGAATTAAGTAAATTGCCAAAGTCAAATTTGGCATAGTAGTGACATAGCCTATATTTGAATACAAAGATGTGGAGCCCAAATTCCAACATTTTCCCTATGAAATATCTTATATAAAATATAAGACCTACCTTAACTTTAAACAGTCTTAAAGATAATTTTTATAGTTTGAAGATCTTATTTTGAATCAAGTTTAACAGATATTAAAGGATATATTAAATGACACAGTATTTTTAATGTATCACCACTAAGGAATGCAATGTTCTTTGACATATTAGATGGCCAAAGATAATTTATATCAAATTACTTCAGATTAGAAGTGGCCAACATGGCAGAATAGGAAGACCCTAAACTCAACTCCTCCCATGGGCACACCAAAATTGCCATGATTTACAGAGCAACTATCTATGAGAACAACCTGATGACTAGTAGAAAAGATTTTCCAGAACTAAAGAAGGAACCACAGTGAGACAGGAGGGGCAGAGACATGGTATAGTCAAGACCCACACCCCCAGGTAGGTGACCCACAAATGGTAGAATATTCACAATTGCAGAGGTTCTACAGAAGAAGCAAATGAGCCAATCCCCACATCAGGTACCCTAGCCCAAGGGTCCTGGACCAAAGGATAAACCCCTAGAACATCTGGCTTTTAAGGGCAGCTGTGCTTATGTGTGGTAGAATTGGAGGGCAGTAGGAAATAGGGACTCAGCTCTTCAAGGGCACATGTTAAATCTCACACACTCTAAAACCCACTCTGAGACAACATGAAGTGTACTATCATTCCCATGCTATGGGTCTCAAAACTTATTTGAAGCAGTAATAGCTGAAAACTTTCCTAAACTTGGAAGGGAAACAGACCTCTAGGTCCAGGAAGCACATAAAGTTGCAAACAAGATCAGCACAAACATGTTTACAACAAGACACACTATAATTAAAATGGCAAAAATTAAAGAGAATATTAAAAGCAGCAAGGGAAAAGCAACTAGTTATGTACAAGGGAACCCTCATAGACTATCAGCTGACTTTGCAGGAGAAACTGCAGGCCATAAAGGAGTGGCATGACATATTTAAAGTAAAGAAAGGAAGAAAAAAACTACAACCAAGAATACTCTACCCAGCAAAACTTTCATTCAGATTTGAATGAGATCAAAACTTTTATAGAAAAGAAAAAGCTAAAAGAGTTCAGCACAACAAAACCAGCTTTACGAGAAATGATAAAGGGAATTCTCTAAGCATAAAAGAAAAAGCCACAACTAAAAACATGAAAATGACTAAAGGAAAAATCTTATTGGCAAGGCAAGTATGTGGTAAAAGTAGTAAATCAGCCATGTATAAAGCTAGTAAGAAGATTAAAAGGCAAAAGTAATAAAATCAATATCCACTATAGGGATACACAAAACAAACTGATGTAAAATATGATGTCAAAAACAAACAATGGGGGGGCTGAAAATTGAGGGTTGTTAGAAGGCATTCAAACTTAAGAGATCATCAACATAAAAATCATATGTATAAAATCACATATACATTGCTATATATAAACCACATGGTAAAACAAACCAAAAATCTATAATACACACACAAAAGAGAAAGGAATCCAAACATAACACTAAAAATAATCATCAAATCACAGGGAAGAGAGCAATAGAAGAGGAAAAAACCAAAAGAGAACTACAAAAACAACCCTGAAATTATTAACAAAATGGCAATAAGTACAATATAAACCTATCCATCTAAAAGCAGCAGAATACACATTCTTTTCAAATACACATGGAACATTCTCCAGGATAGACCATATGCTGGGCCACAAAGCAACTTTCATCAAATTAAGAAGACTGAAATCATACCAAGCAGCCTTTCTGACTACAATTTTATGAGTAGAAATCAGCCATAAGCAAAAACTGCAAAAACCACAACCATGTGGAGGCTAAATAATACGATACTAAACAACCAAAGGGTCATGAAAGAACTCAAATAGGAAATCAAAAAATACTTGGAAACAAATGAAAATAAAAACACAATGATCCAAAGTCAATGGAACACAGCAAAAGCAGTTCTAAGAGGGAAATTTATAACAATACAGGTCTATCTAAGGAAACAAAAAATCTCCAACAACTTCAACTTACAACCAAAGGAAGTAGAAAAAAGAACAAACAAAACCAAAAGTTAATATAAGGAAAGAAATCATAATGATCTAACTACAAAAGATTAGAAAGATAAACAATCCCATTTACAATAGCATCAAAAAGAGTAAAATACCTAGGAATAAATCTAACCAAGGAGGCAAAAGATCTCCACTCCAAAAACTATGAAAATGATGTAAGAAATTGAAGATGACACAAAACATGGAAAGATATACTGTGCTCACGTATTGGAAGAATTAATTAAAATGACCCTACTACCCAAGGGAATCTACAGATTCAATGTAATCCATATCAAAATACCATTGACATTTTTCACAAAACTGAAACAAATAATTCTAAAATTTGTATAGAGACA